GGGTAGGGTAGAGAGGGAGGTCGAGAGCGAAGGAAGCTCTCTGAAAGTGATCCAACGAGATCCAGTCGGGGATCAAACTAATGGCGGTCTCTGCAACGGCTAATTAAAAGGCCCGGTCAATCGAAAAAAGAATCGAAGGCGACAAGAACAGTCACGACGTGTGTGCGCGTGCGCATGTGTGTGAGTATGTCTGGGGAAGAAGAAGTTTTCGAGGTGAGAAGGATCTCTCCACACACACACACACAGCGGTCACATGTGCGGCGACCGTTTCCAGCCCACTCCCACCGCTCATCCCAGCCCCAGCCCCAGCCCCAGCCCCACACACGGGGGCCCAACCCCCCGACGCCCCCCATCATGGGCTGCTCACTGGTCGCCGGGAAGCACCTCCGCAGCCTCTGCACCTCCGCGTGCGCACTGCCGGTCAGCCGGTACAGCTCCTCAAACCGCCGCCAGTACTCGTCCAAGCCCTCAGAGGTGCTCAGGTCCACCTCCACGAACCGCCCACTGCCACCAGCCAGAGCGGTGAAGCCCGTGGGGGCGGCGACAACGACCGGAGGGGTGCCGCCGCCGCCGCCGCCGCCGCCGCCGGCTGCGGTGCCAGCGGCCACCTCCGGTGCGGCGGCCGCATGGCCGGCACCTTCAGCGCCCACCCCGGTGGCGGGCTGTGCCGGCGGCGGCTGTGGCGGGTTGTGTGAGAGCTCCTTGCCGGGTGGTATTTCCAGCACACCTGGCGGTGGAGAGGGCCCGGGGGAGGAAGGTTACCTGTGTGCTTGAGTGCACGAAGAGGAAGAGATGTGGGGCGCAAGGTTGTGGGGCGCAAGGTTGGTGAAGGGTGTGAAGGGGCTTGAGATGGGCGGGACTCACGGTGGGGACTGGGTCAGAAAGCCGCTGCGGTCCGCCAGCTGGCGACTGTTGAATGTGGAGATGTGGATATGTATCAACCTCCTGAGATTGCATGTATGTCCATGTGCGGGTAGATCGCCCCAGGGGGATTCCGTGCTGATTGTTTCTATGTGTGTGTGTATGTATGTGTTTTGTTCGGGGCATATGGGGTCCATGTTCACTCTCTAGGACTCCCCTCTAGGACTTCTTGCAGACACACAGACACATCACCCTACAAAGACGCAAGGACTCAGGGGACTGCGACCCACACCCAAACCCACACCCACACCCACATACGGAGGAGCCAAATCCACCTCCCCAAAAGCACAAATACACACACACCCTACCACACGCCGGCGCGCACACGGCCGCCCCCAGTAGGCAGCTTTCCACACCCGCAGCTCCACTACTCCAAGCACCTACCCACCCCTGGCATGCACCAGCAGCCGCACTCCCTGGCCGTCCCGCGCCCGCACACCGGCCCCCGGGCCGGGCTTCCTAGAGGCCTCCAGCCGCGAGGGGTCCACCACCGCCCACTCCAGCAGCCGCAGCCTGCGCAGTATGCTGATGAGGTACTCCAGGCGGTGCACGGAAGTGCCGTCCATGATGTTGCGCGCCTGGTCGGGGGTGAGGGAGCCCAGCGTGGCGCCGCTCTCGCACAGCCGGGCGAGCTCCTCAGGGTGGCGACGGGAGGTGCTGCCCAAGACCTGAACACACATACACACATACACACACACACACAAGGGAGGGCGGGAGGGGAAAGACGAACCACAAACGAGGGCGGGAGGGGCGGGGTGAGGGAAGGTGGTAGGAACAAAGGAAGGAGGGTGGGCTGGGCTGGGGCACAGATTTTTCACAGACATGGTAATAACCTATGCCAGAACGCATGCACATACCATGCATCGACAAGTGCTGGAATGGAAGTGTTGGGTTGCGGAATGTGAAGCAGCAGGAAGAGAAAACAGCAATGCGCTCTGTGGGGAAAGACGAATTACGAACGAGTGGCGCGCTGTGAGGCCGGGGGAGCAGGCGGAGTGAGGGAAGCGAAGTGAACGTTGCACACACAGAGGACGAACAAGGAGGCGGGCGGGGCCAGCAATGAATGGAACACTACTTCGCTGTTCCGCGAGACAACGCCCTTCACTTCACTCGCCCAACGCAGGCAGGGGGCTCTACCAGGCAGGGCTTCCCACCTGCAGCGCCACACTCAGCGGCATGATGCTCCACAGCCGCCGTACGCTGAGGTGACGCATCGGCGCTGCCGGCGCCTCCTGTCTCGCAGTCGCCCCCGTCACCTCCACGCCTCCTCCTCCTCCTCCACCTCCGCGCGCCTCACCGTCACCACCCTCTCCTGGCCCACCCGCGGCTCCACCCGCGGCTCTCTCCCCACCCCCCTCCGCCACGCCCTGCTGCTGTCCTTGCTGCGCCCCTTGGCCCTGGCCCGGCTGCCCCTGCTGTTGTTGCTTCTGGGGGTCGCCCTGCGCGCTCGACCCCTTCATGGCTCCGAACGCAAAGGCCATCTTGGACCGCTCCGTGGCTGAGGCCAGGCTGAGCACCTCCTCACCCCAGCTGAGGGGCATGTGGGGCATGCCGCCTGGCTCGGGGTCCACAGATGCCAGCGAATCGGACTCGAAGCCGCCCAGGCCTGCAGGCACCCGCGAGCACGCAAAGCATACAACAAGCACACGGTAACACGTCTTACTGTATCGAAAATGGTCAGGCGAAGTGTGCGGGCGTACATACATATGTAGGCTACTGGTGGAAATAGTATGTTTTTACACGCACACGTGGTCTCATGAGTTGCAGTGTTATATATCAGCTTTGCTGATGAGGCCCGAGCAGCAGCAGTGGAAGAAAGATACGGAGGAAGCTGCAAAGAGGAATGCAACGCAACAAGGGACGAAATGCCGTACCAACTGCCATTAACTGCAGATACCCCAGCACAGCCAAGGAACCGTGGAGATGCCAATGTTCAGGTGAGACGGACCATCCATATTTGATGCTTGGTGCAGGAAGCAAAGGGCCATTTGCGGACATGTAAATTAAACCGGGAATCGGCCCTTGGAGCGGTGAGTCGGGGGGAAAAAGGGAAAGGCCTTCCAGGGTGTGTTTTTGGCATGGGTTCGCGAGACGACGTGTGTGTTTGCTGCAACGGCTGCACCCACCCACCCACCCACCCACCCACCCGCCCACCTACCTACGAGCTTGGCGATGAGGTAATGCAGCAACCGCACCCGCACCATCTTGGCAGGGATGAGGCCGTTCTCAACTGACCGTGCAGTCGCCTCGTTGTGTACGGCACGGAAGAGGCTGACGCCGCGGCCGATGCGCAGCCGGGCGGCCGCCGCCGCAGTTGCGGGGGACTGTGTGCCGCCGCGACCCCGATCGACAGCGCCACCGCCGCCGCTGCCGCCGCCACCATCGCGGCCATGCAACCCCGGTTCCTCGTTTCCGGCGTCCAGACCCACAGCCCTAACGCAAAAGGCCGTGAAGGTGAGGAGAAGGTGAGGAGAAGGTAGAATCATGGGATCAAACGGGGCGTGGCGCGTTTTCGCACAACAAAGCAGGCGCTGGGATTCGAAGCTAATAACTCATAATAAACACAAAATCGCATATAACACAGCGTGCAAGAAGGTGCTGCACTGCGCGAGACATAAAACCGAACACGCTTGATAAAAAGGATCCTGCCACGGCCCCTACTGTAGACAGTAGCTCTTGGCTACCCCACACCCTCGCATATGCGCCTTTTCCCCCCCCCATGCCTTCCTTGCTCCTCCCCCTTCCCCTCCTCCTCCTCCTCACCCAAGAAGCCCAGCTGTGGTCTCATCAAGCCCGTCGATGGTGCCCACAGCACCGCCGGCCGCCGCCGCGCCGCCACCGCCAGCAGCACCCGCGGCGGCGGCTTCTGCCGCCGCCACCGCTACCGCCGTCGCGGATCCCGCCGCCACCGCGGCCGTGACCATGGCCTCCGGCAGCAGGTTGCCGACGGGGTACTCAATCATGGTGACCGCCTTGCGGGCCGCTAGGGCCTTCCTGCAGCACTCAGATCGCAGCTTGCGCTCGAACTCCCCCATTTGTTTGCAAATCTCGTCCAACAGCTCCGGAGTGGGCTCCAGGTCGGGTCGAATCAACGTATCGACCTAATGAAAGCAGTGTTGGAATGGAGGGCTTTTCGGAAAACAGCATCGATATGTAGGGGTTTCAAAAACCCCACTAGCTGGAGATACCTGCCCAGCCCCAGCCCCAGCCCCAGCCCCAGCCCCAGCCCCAGCCCCAGCCCCAGCCCCAGCCCCAGCCCCAAAGCCAGCCCCAGGCCAATGTCCAACCGGCACTGCCCACCCCCACCCCCCAGTTAGCACTTCCCCCCAAGCCCCCAGTCTCCAGCCCCAGCAGTCCCCATCCCACCACCACGCACCCCTCCCAAGTGGCCACCCGGCACCCACCGGCCTATTGTCGCCCAGGAAGCCCTGGGTCTCCACTCGGATGAGCTTGGCCTTGCCCGACTCCGCCAACCGTATCATGAGACGGCGGATGGTTTTAATATCGGGGCCGGCAGAGCTGTTGGGGATGGGCTTGCCACTCGCGGCGCTCTCCCACTCCATCACCAGCCGACGAACCTGGCACATGACGTGTGGACGCAGGGGGAGGCGCGTTGCCTTGAAGGAACGCGTTACCGAGAAAGCGCCAGTACGGTACCTCACGACGGCGGTGCCTTATTTCCTCAGGCAGAGTGCTTTCATGGCAGCGGGGGAAGGCAGGCTTGGACGGCAGGTGTGGGGTGTGGGGTGGCGGACATACACACTCCGTGGGGAGCCGCTGAGGTACCTCCTCTAAGATAATGATAACCACCAATAGTCGCCAATAATCGACACGAGCTCTACGGCTTTTGGACAATCAAGACGCGCACTGAGGTGTGACGGGCCGTGACCGGTCCAAGGAGGTTGGTGCCTTGTAATGGTGTGGTGGTGGTGGTGGTGGTGGTGGTGGTGATGGTAATGGCGCAGCATGGTGACCATGTGTATGAATGTGGGAATGGGCCGCACATGCCGTGCCGCAGGCTGCTACACCCGCTGCCTGTCCGTCACCGCCGGGCCCCCATGTTATCCATCCATCCATCCATCCATCCATCGGCCAACCTACACCGCTGGGAGTCTGCAAGCCCCGCCCGAGCTTCAGCCCTAGAGCCGCACCTCTGGACCAATTTGTCTCCGTACCGTCCTTTTCCGCCCTGCTTTCTGCCTACCTACCTAGCTACCTACCTAGCTACCTACCTACCTAGCTACCTACCTAGCTACCTAGCTACCTACCTAGCTACCTACCCACCTACCTGCACCCGGGGTATGAAGCGGTGCTTGTTGAGGTGCTCCAGCAGCAGCCGCAATCGGTCCTCCGTTTTGAGGGTCTGGAGGAGACGAGGGCGACGAGACAGACACATAGCCACTGTTAACAAATGCTAACTTTGCCGTGAAGTGAAGTGAAGTGGTGAAATGTGACACACGGTGATGTCCCCGGCCGGGTGTGGCATTTCAACTGAGAACAACAACACACTGTTTTACGGATACAGCCAAATGGTGAGATTTGCGTTCCGGCAGGTGATTTAATGAACTGGGTCGCGGGCAGGAACTGGCAACTGGATGCTGCTGCTGCTGCTGTGGCAACCCCACCCACCCAGCGTGGGGCATACGTACACCATGTTGGCCCTCATAGCACCCTATCCAAGGGCCAGCTCAACAGGCCAGCCCTTGCTGCACGCTACGGCGCTGCAGCGCCCCAGCACCCCCTTGCCGTGTCGACCTCCCAAGTTCGACCTCCCAAGTTCCCCAACTCACGAAAATAAACGTACTGATATGCTATATATGCCTTTTTGCTAAACCTTCTGCTCCAGGAGTAACCAAGTAGCTTTAGGGCGTTAAGCCTAGTCACAGGGCATCACCACGCGGGCCGCCAGCCGCCAGGAATGGAAAGCCAGCATTTGCCAGCGGAAGGAGGAACCCCACCTGACAGCGCGAGAGCTACAGCATCTTTCCCGGGTAGCCGGGGGGAGCGCGGGCGGGCGGGCGCAGCTGGGGCACATTGCGCGGGGCCAGCAACATGACCCAATGACCGCACAGACAAGAAGCGGCGGCGGTGGTGACAGTCCCCACGGTCCCAGCATTTCCGCAGCTTTGAGACCCGCGCGCGCCATGAGCAGCTGTGAAGTCACACACCGCCCTACTTACAATGACCTTGGTCCAGTGTGGCTTCCGCTCCTTAGTCCCTGTGGAACGTTCGCCTGCGGCGGCCGGCCCCGTCCCCGCAGCCGCAGCCACTGCCTCGGTTCCGAGACCTGCAGCACCGGCAGCAGCACCAGCGGTGGCGGCCGTGGCGGCGGCCAAGGCATCAAGCTGGACGGCCGCCGGAGTGGGAGCCGGTGCCGGCGTCAACGCTACCGCTGCCGCCGCAGGTGCCGCTGCCAGCGCATTCGGAGAGTCCTCAGTAATGCGCGGGCGCTTGGGCGGCCGGCCTGGGCCCCGCCTGCCACGGCACGGCTGCTCGTCCTTCTCCTCCTCCTCCTCCTCCTCGGCCTCCAGCTCTTCACTTGACTCCTCGCTGGCGTCCTCCTCTTCCTTATCGCTGCTACCGCCGCTGCTGCTCTCGCCCGCCTGCATCGCATGTGACGCGTCAGCCTCGGCATCGTATTCGTCGTCGCTGTCACCGGCGTCTACACCGCCCAGGGCTTTCAAAACCGCGGCGGCGCTCTGACTCGCCTTCACAGCTGCCGAACGCTTAGGTCGCCCTGCCGGTGTCTCTGCAGCCACCAAAGCCGCGGTGGCGGCCGCGGCACCGTCCGCTGCATCTGCCTTGTCCTTCTTAGCTTTACCCTTCGTCTTCCCTTTGGACTTCGTTCCCGTCGATTTTGTTTTCCCGGCGGCCTTGGTCGCCCCAGCGGCCGCTGGCGCCGCCGCTCCTGCTGGTGTTCCCGCCGCCGCTGCTGGAGCCGCCGCCGCCAGCGTACGGGATGGGTCCTCACCTCCGGCAGCCGTCGCCGTCGCCACCGCGCCTTGCGCCAGCTCCTCAACCGCAGGAGCCGTCCTCGCAGCAGCCCCACCTGCAACGCCGCCGGCTGCGTCAACGGCTGGAGGCCCTGCCGGCGGTTGTAACAGGTGTCCTGCCGCCGCCAGCAGCTCCGGTGGGGCCACCAACCGGTTCAGCACGGTGCGGCCGCGGTTGACGACCGTGACCTGCAGGTTGAAGCGCTTGATGATATCCACCAACCTGCGCCCCGGCAAGACGGGGTGGAAAGGAACCACACAACCGAGGGGGCCGATAAGGGGCCAATCAGGGGGGGGGCGGTCTGCTCCGGTTGCGTGCACGCTGTCGCGTTGGCTGCGTCAGCTGCGCCAACGTCAAAAGCAGGCGCGGGTGACTAGGTGTCACCAGCCGTTGAAAACACCGTTGCTAACCTTGCCTCCCTCGAAATAGATAAATAGATAGATATACATACTATTTAATATTTAAATAGTGTGCATGCGTGTGTATAGGCGTCCTCGCGCCTTTCCTGGCAGTGAATATATGTATATATGTATATATTATTCACATACGTATATTCACATATATATGTATATTTATCTTATACACATCGCATTCACAGCCAGCAAAGGCGCGAGGGCGCCAGAAGATCTTGTTTTGCCCCTTGTATCCCTTTCCTCCGCCTTTCCGTACCGCACACAGCCACTCACTTCCTGCCGTACACCTTGGAGCTGACGCCCAGTTTGGAGAACAGCTCGTGGTTGAGCACTCCGTCGGGGCCCGCGGACATGATTCCCTCCAGCAGCTGGCGCTCCAGGGACAGCTCCGTCACGTGGATGCAGGCGCGGCCGCCAGCACCCTCCATGTCGTCCTCGTCGGCCTCCTCGCCCTCTGCACGTGGCGACGGGAGGGGGCACAGGGGGCACATTCATGGCTTCGAGTAAGGGTTAGGGCCCCGCATGTGAGAGGGAGAAAGAAAGAAAGGAAGGAAAAAGCACCGGCTCAATACACGGCGTCCACACCACAATACATCCATTGGTGCCAAAACTGCGCCTGGGAGGTTTCTTCGACGGCCGTTCCGCCGCCTTTGTCCGCCGCCTCTCAATTTTCCCCCCCTGGGATTGTCGTCCCGTCGACCCCACCCCACCCTACCCGTTACCCACCCTCCCCAGCTCCCTCCGGCGGCTCGTCACGATCCGCTGCTGTGGGGGGCTTCCAGTCCTTGAGCAGCCGCACACACGGCACCAGCCGTTCGCGAACACGACACGTCTCGAACGCCAGGTAGCCCTGCTCCTCCATCTTGCGCTGCGGCGGGGTAACAGGCCGAAGTGGCGGAAGTGCTCAAGGTAAAATTCCACGGTAATGCTCCTGGTGCCGTTCCACCATCTACCTCCCCTTTTTCCCCCCTTCCTGAGATGAGAAGAAAGCCTCTTTTCACCCACGTCCTCAATCAAACCATCCAGCCCTTCCCATTCCTGCCAACTCCCGCGCCCTTCCTTCTGCAACACCACTAAGACCATCGCCATCACCGCTCTTTTCCTGGACCTGCATACGCAGCACCACCCGCATCCCAACACCGGCGCTTGCAGGATCCTGCAAATGAGCCGTTCTCGGGTACTTGGTCATATTTGCATATTGCCTACGTCCGGTCTTACGTTCGCCCTCACTCAGCCCCCCACCGAACCCAACCTCCCGGCACTCCGTACAAACGGTAGGGGGCCGCACCCGCAGCCTGCGCCACAGACGATGCCCTCGTGTGCCTCTGAAGCCGCACACCAGCTTGAGGTCCGACTCCACCACCACCCGCTCCGTCGTCTCCGCGATGGTGCTGCACACCAGCCGCATGTACATGTTGTCGTCCTGCAGCACGTAGGTGGCCACCTCCATGCCGCGAACCGCGTCAATCGTCTGTGGGACAGGGGCCCAGCCACATGCGGGATAGTGGTGGTGCGGGGGTGTCAGGCAGGTGGCAGGTGGCAATGCAAGCAAGATCGACACGGGGCGGGTGATATGCGCACGGTGATGTGATGCCCTGGGTGGTGAAGGGCCACCCGGGGCTCACGGGTCGCCAGAACAGGAGGGGACCGGGAAGAAGGCAGGAGGTTGCATCTCTCTCTCTCTCTGAGAGAGAGAGAGAGAGAGAGAGAGAGAGAGAGAGAGAGAGAGAGAAAGAGAGAAAAGAGGTATATATATACATATACACATAATGTTATAGGGTGCACATAATGTTATAGGGTACACATAATGTTATAGGGTACACATAATGTTATCTCTCTCATATATATATATATATATATATGCATATTCGATAGGGGTATTCAACCACACTGCACGTCGGCTCCTGCACGGTCCTGCACTTTGCCCTGCACCCGCACGGGTAGTATGCGACCTCCCCCCGGTCCCCCCCAACCTTGAACATCTGTCCCGGGCCCAGCTTTACTGCCGGCTGGAACCTGGGAAGGTGCAGCACCGAAGACACGGTGACGGTGGCGCCGGGCGGCGCGAAAACCACGGGGTTCTTCACCACGAGCTTCCGAGTCTCCAGGTTCTGCGTACGTGTGACATAGTGCCGTACAGACAGGGTGCAACCGGGAAAGGGAAGAACGCAGAAGAACGTTGGAGGGGCCCAAGAGGGCGAAAAGGAAAGCCGGTTTGCGGCTGGCATTGAGGCCAGGTGGGGTAAAGGATGGGTTTCGGATCGTGCGCGATGTGGAAGTGCAAGCCTGTACATTGCACCGTGCACTTCTCGAAGGAGCCGTGCTTGCAGGGTGGCGGTGCATCCCCCATCGTGCGCCCGCAGCCCACTCACTTTGATGATGTAGTAAAAGTTGCGGTAGGCAATGCCCAGGCGGTTGGCCAGATCGGCATTGATGGTGCCCTTCCAGCGCGTGCGCCCCACCACCGCCAGCGCCGCCAGTTGCATGTCGCTCAGCGGAAACCTAGAGTCCTGGATCTCATACACGCCCAGAACCGAAAAACGAACAGCCTCCGAGGCCTGCGTATGTTATACATGCCAGCATGCGACACGCCACACACACACACAACGAAAAATCAAAAAAGAAGAAGCACGTTGCGGTCTGCGCCAACGCCACGAGGAACGCACAGAAAAGCGGTAGGGCGAAAAGCGTCACAAAAGGTCCAAATAGGCATCCTCCAGAGGAAGATGACAGCTTTGCAGCTGTTACGATTAGCTGTTACGAACTCATTCTTACTGATACCAATAGGAGAGGTTGGCTGGCTACACAGGGTGTGGGAGCTGGGCACCAGTTGGCCGCTTGCTGCGGTCCGGGCCAGGAGCGCAGGTGCAGAAAAGGGAGAAGGCAGAAGGGGCCAGGGGGGTCGCTGCCGCGGCCGAGGCCTGGAACAGGTCCGACCTGGGGCCCCATAGCAGGTTTGGTCGGAACAACCCTGGACTGCCTGAGAGGAAGTGAGCCCGCCCGCTCGCCCCCGCCCGCCCGCCCCCGCCCTAGGTCTGGCGTCGCTGAGCACGCAGCCGCCCGTTCGTATGCAAGCGGCCCAGGGCTGTTTCCCTTCCTCCGCCAGAGGGCAGGGTGCCCTTCCCCGTCTGGAGCCCCGCACTTACCATCACCTTGACTCCGTTGGCGGCCGCTGTGGCGTGGGTCCTTATTTGGGGATCGTCCGGTGACAGCTGCAGCGGTGGGCGCGGGGGCCGTGTGGTGAAAAAACACACAGCCATAAGGTCCTGCATGATGTCCCTTTGGTGCTCTGTCCTGTTAAATTGGATCAATACATGACTTGGACCTAAAGGCCCGACTGGCCCGAAGGGTCCGGACAAGCTATACGCAGGCAGGTATGTGGATACTGGGCAGGAAAGTGGACATGTAGGTAGGAGGGTAGGTAGGTGGGCAGGCAGCAGCATAGCACCGGGCAAGGAGGTCTGGCAAGGTGCCACGCAGCAGCAGCGGCGGCAGCAGCAGCGCTTTTATGACGGGTCAGGTCGGGGAACCCCCTTGGGAAATGGTCTGCGACCTTGGGCCAACCCGCGACAGGATGCGATCTACGCTGCTAGGGAGCATTTTGCAAGGCGGCCCAGGGCAGGAAAAAGCACGATGCCATCGGCGGCAACGTTCCCCCCACCCCCTTAACTTCGCCGTCGTATCGCCATGGTCCCCTGCTCCCCGGAGGCCCCTTCAATCTTCCCTCCGTTACCAGCGGTTTAAGGGACCCTACCACGATTGCTTTCGCCATGGGGTTGTTTTCCGACTTTTTCTTGGCGCGTTTTCCCTTGCTCTTCTTCGGCTCTGCCTCCTCCACCTCGTCCACCGCCTTTGAAGCCCTACAAGGCAGTATGCGCCAGGACGAGAAACATGGGAAGCTGCGATCAGGGAGGCGCAGGAGCACCGGGAAGGGAAGCGCACTGAAGGGGCAGCATCGTACGGACGTTGGGAGGGCCGCCTGCCATACGTGTAACCCTCGTATTTTCTTTACGCGCGCAACACGCAGCTGCCTCCCACACCATCCCGGCAGTCAGGTTGCGGGTTTCATCTTCGCCAAGCTGCCAGCCATTATACCCACTCGTTCAATGAGGGCATCGTGAAAAATTGGACATCCTCCATACGTTGAAGCAGTAGGCCCCACAACACATCCTGAAGCTGAGGCGGTAGGCATGTTATGGAACCGACGGGGAGTCGAGCCCCAAGAAGGGTCCAAAGCTCCTCAGCAGTGCAGCCTACGGGAGGGGATGCGACAGAGTGAATCCGGGTCGCTTGCAGGCAGCTTGCTGCATAGTTTACAAAGTAGGTGGTTTCGCTGAGCAACTCGTTTGCACCGAACGCTGATCAAACGCTGAAATTCTATTCCTAACCCACCTTCCTGGCCCTCCAAGGCTATCTCTTCCACCGCGACTGCCAACAAGGCATCCATTTAATTAACTTTAGAGTAAGGGCATTGGTCTTTGAGTGCCAGCCTTGAGATTCCCAACTTTTTGTGTTAAAATGATTTGACAACGTTATAACATTCTGTAAGGTTTACAACGATTCCTAAATAAAATGGCTAAATTATGCATACTGCTGTGTTTTGACTATATTGCAGTGACAAGGAGAGCCTGCCATGGCATGCATGCGATGCCAATACGACCTTAGTAAGTGCAGACCGCGATAAGCTGCTAGCCTCACAGGCCATCCGAGCGCTGTGCACAAACTGGGTCGGCGCAAGCCAAACATACACACACAAGGCTTTGAGGCTGAGTACATCTCCCCAACGCACAAGCGCGACCGACGCCCATACACTTGCTTAAGTGGCCTCGTCCAAGCCAGCCCTCCAACGGCTTTTAACAAGCCCTGCTATATCCAAATCGCTAAGTCCATATAAGCCCCAGTGCCGTGGTGCAGCTTCATTGACCTGTCAGGCCCCAATGGCAGTTAATCCCATGGGTCGCACTCTCCACCGCGCGTGGACTGGTGCGGTCCGGTCCGAGCTCAACTACTGGCTGCCAGTACCCATGGCACCTGTCTAGGTCTAGGTGTCACTGGTTGACGGGGCCGGTGAGGGGAGATTGGTGCTTGTCACTGAGGTTGGCGCTCGCGTGCCTTCACTCCAGGATCTGCGCAGGGATACGCGATCGATCAGGCCAGTCGGCTGGAGCGACTTACAGTCTCTCTCTATATATATATACTTATTATGGTTCTGCATACTTCAAGAAACGCACGGTACCGATAGAAAAGGTGCCACAGAAATCAAACATTAAGCGCATGCTGCCGACAGGAAAACAGTTGCTGTTTCCGAAACCAGATACGAGATGCCTGACACAGCCATAACCACACGCCCAAAGCTGGCAGAATCCTAACTGACTTTCAGTTAGGCCAACCGGCTAACGGCCGGTAGAATACCTGGCCGGGTAAACAATTGACCGTCAACCGTCTGCTTATCGACAATCCGTCCGCAAAGAATCCTTGCCGAAAGCCACCTGCCAAAGCAGCCAATAACATTCGCACTTTGGGGGTGGAGGCGCTATTACAGCAGGAACGATAGCATAATGGACACCTGCACGTTCGCGGCGAGCCTGCGTTTGCTGTTACATGGCCACCATGTTGGCCGACGTCGCGGTTTTTTTGAATTGGGGACGGTCACTTTGGCTGGTGAGGGCTGCGGTGCGCTTGGGGATTCGCGCAAGAAGGTTGCAGAATCGGGCATGATGGCATAAACTTGCACGCCCCATCCTGTGTGTGTGTGTGTATGTCTGTGTGTGCATGTGTGTGTGTGTGTGTGTGCGTGTGTGTAAGTGTAAGTGTGTTATTTAGAGAGAGCGACATATGAGGACGGTATATATACTGCCGGACCCGACGTACTAGTTAATGGCCTTGCAGCTATCGTGATCCAAGCAATGGTGGAGAGTTTTTCCTGCGACGGATCGAGACAGAGTTCCGGAACCCGTGAACCTGGAATACCCGCGACTGCTTTGCGGTTGCCACACTTCAAGGTTGCCACACCTGGGCAATCTACTGGCGACACTCGGCGGTCTCAGTGCTGTGCACATCTGCCAACGCCGTAGCTTTACTTACTGCGCCGCACTTCTGTCGTGCTGGTCCTGTCATTCCTGACATCACGCGCGAGGGCAACATCCGTCTGCAGGGGGCGTCCGTCCGTCCGGGCGCAAGCCGCATGTGAAATGAACTTGCCGGGTTTAGATGAGATTTACGTGAGAGCCAAATGCCCTGCTTACGAGTCCCTTAGCCATGCATATATTGACTTCCCAGTTGGCCGTGAACTGCGGTGTTTTACAGTGCGGTAGAGGCAGGACATGTTGGGCAGACTCTTGCTGTAGATCACCGATGCGAAGGCAACCTGGAGATCTTAGTGCCATCACGGGCCGTAGACCTGCCGTGTTTAGCTCGTTTGCGCGGGAATGCTGTGACAGACCCAGATGAGCCTTCTGCCGTGGTATGCATCACTGCCCTCCGGTAGCCACACCTGCTGTGTAGCAGGGATGTTTCTACAACCGGTCCAACCGGGCCTAATTTGTGATAAAGGTTCGGGGCCAATTTATGGGACCGGTGTGACAACCCTTAGCTGCAGCGGCAAGCGGCTGTATCACTCCCCAGCCCTGCAGTGGTGAAATGCGCTAGGGTTTGCTGTCCAGACGATTTAACGTAAATCCCATACACATGATATACACAACCACATAAGGTGGCCAAAATCATAAGATGTTTTTAACGGCCTGTATGGCATATGGGCACCTGCCGCAATGGCAGACTCTTCGCCTACCAAAGCTGCAGTTGGCGGGCACGGTTAGACAGTTATAAGCTCCAAATCTTACTCTGCATGTGATGGAAATGTATAAAGGTCAAGCTATGTATCTAGTCATGCGGCATGTAGTCAGTCTCTGGCATCGTATGTCCTTATGTCCATGTACCTAAGGCTCTCTGGCCATACGTTTTAACCTAATCTGCTAGTAATTTAAAATAGTTGCTAAGCAAATCTACGAGAAAAGGTCAGGAATTTTGTATATTACGCTGCTGCTGTGACCGTCTGTCAGTTTGCTTCATACCGGAACGCTCCTGACTGAGCCCTTCGCTGTCGTCATTTCAGGGAGATAACGCATACTAATTTGTGTTTATTTATTCGTCGACCACAACTTTGGGCCCCGGCTTTTGGAAGGAAGGCCTTTCGGATGCTTTTGCCAACCAGCGTGAAGGCAGCGCGGCTGCCAATACCGAACCCGCCAGCAGCGACAGCGCAAGATCAATCCACTATCCATAGAAGGCCCAGCACCCGGCGCGCCTACTTCACTGACCCAATTGCGCTCTCCATATTCCGAGCGGCCAATAACGGCAGCCTTGACCCTAGCAGCTTGCCCTCTTCCCTGCGCCCAAAGCCGCCAGCACAGGCGCCAGAACAGGGAACAGAATTATGTACTTCCGCACCGTCAACGTCCGGGACGCTGTCGATGACGAGTCTGGACTCCTTGACCATCGACACAGCTTCGTCGGATTTTGCGGCGCGAGGGGCGCTCCCAGCTGCATCGCCAAGATCAACCAGAATTTGTGAACCTCAGTTTCAGCGCAACGCAAGCGAGGCGCTTTCTGCTGAGCTACCTAATCCTCAGCAGCCGGTGCCTTTGCCAGCGCCGAACGGCCCACCAGTATCGTCACTCCAGCCTGCAAGACACCGCGCGGCAACAATGCCAACGCAACAACGGCTGCCGACGGTACCTTACCAGTCAACTGCCCCAGCTGCAGCGCCAGGGCCGGTGCATCGGCCACCATTGATTGCAACTGCGCACCCTGATGTCCCGGGTGCCCAGGCAGTGAGTGTGGAGCCGCCTCCAGGGCCCCGGGTGCCGGCGGAATGCCGCCCGCATGCGCCGCACACAACTAGCACGAAGGTCGTTGCTGCGCCCTCTTACCCATCGCCGCAGCTCCCCATTGCACCAAACCCCCCAGCAAACCCGTCGGTCAAAGTTTCCCCACCTGCAACGGCGCCTGGCGAGCCCGTACAATTAGTCGCAAATGCACCGGCAGTGGTGTCTGTACTGTCGACTGCGCCATCGCTGCCGGCGACGGCGCCGCAGCTGCCACCCACTGCCCTCCTGCCACTGCCCACTGTCGGAGGTGCTCTGGCGGCCGGGGGAGCAGCACCGCCGCCGCCGCCGCCGCCGCCATTAACCCAGCAGCTTTCAAGCACAACGGTGCAGAAGGAAACCCGGCTGCCCGCCCATGAACAGACTTCGACCAGCGGGACGGCTCCCGTCGTGGTGGCGGGGACCCCCACACCAGGCGTGGCCACGCTGGTCCCCGGAGCGGCATCGGCAGACCCTGCCCGTGCGGCCCCAGCTGCACATGCTGCCGCCACCGTGGGCGCGGCGGAGGCGGAGGCGGAGGCTGCAGCAGCAGCGCTGCAGGGTTGTCTGCTGCCCTTCCGTTCCTTAGACTCGCGGCACAAGGAGCTCCGGATCCGGGGGGTGATCGCACTGGCCATGTCGCAGGTGTGGAATGCGTGCTTGCGACAGCACGGCCAGTCACCGGAGACCCAGGCGCCGGCAGGGAAGTCACACGCGCCGCCGGTGAACGCGGGCACGTTCTCGCTATCACGGCTTCAGCTGGTGCAATTCGGCTGGACAACAACCCAATTGGATGAGAAGTACCAGGAGCTCTTCCCGCCTCATCCGCCTGGCAGGTTAGGTGGAGGTCGTATGTGCATGTGCATATGTATGTCTTCATGCATGCATTGACCCATGAACCGCACATTGTCACTTTCGGTTTTCCTTTCCTTTAGTTCATCCCCAAAGTTCTCGTTGTTGCTCTCTTGCTCTCCGTGTTGCTGTTGATTGTAGGATGTCTTACAGCAGTACGGCGATTATGTACGACAAAATTGGTAAGAGCATCGCGATGCGCGGTCTGAGGACACGTCCCGGCGGCAACGGCGGAGAGGTGGTGTTGACACCGTGCGTCGGTTGGGGTGACGAGCGGGTGACGGAGATGCAGCGACTGAGGGCCGAGTTGGCGCCTTTGGAGGAGGAGGCGAGGCGGCGCCAGGAGGCCCAAGAGGAGGCCGCTAGGCGCCGCGCTGCCCCCCGCAGCGGGCTCTGCTGCGGCCCTAGCAACACGGAAGAGCGGCGGGAAGCGCTCGGTGGGGGGCCGGCGGGCGGGAAGCGGCGGGCGGCTTCGGAGGTAGAAGTGGAGGCGGCGGGAGTGGAGAAGGTGCGGGGTCTGAACCGGCAAGGGTGAAGAGATAGTTGTTGGGAAATGGAAGGCAAGCCGGTACAGGTACAGGACACACCAAGGTGCGGGGGTTGCAGATGGCTTGCGCTCGCCGCCATTCCCCGAGTCTAGCGACAGAGGGTGGTAAGTGGTATTGGGCGGTGCAGGGGCCCGAGGGGGGGTTGCCGGACTAAGCGGCGGCGAATTTGCAGCCCGGCGCTATGCACAGCGCCACGGGGCAACGCACATTGCTGCTGTTGCTGGTGGTGGAGGTGCTGCTGCGGGTGGTGGTGCTGCTGTTACTGGTAGTGGTGCTGTTACTGATGGTGGTGGTGCTGCTGCGGGTGTTCGAGCGAGTCCACGAGTGCGGCAAGTCAGAACTCCCTCCCCAGGAACCCCCTTCCCCGTGTCGCGCGCCACCACGCCCCCCCTATGAAGAAGGCAGCAGCTTCACTCGTTCGTGGTTCGTCTTTTCCCCTTGTGAAGTCTTCCTGCTTCCCCTCCCCAATCCACATGGCCCTTTTCCTGTCCACGTGGCTTTAACTGCGCGTGATTTCTCTCTCACCCAAACCTCGCCCCCTTCGTCCCCCGGTCGAGTGGGGGCAGTCGGCAGTTGCTATCTTGACGCTCGAGATATGAATGCCTCCCGTGCGGCCCCAGTCGGACAACCTGCCCTGGCCCCTGCGGGAGATCCAGTGCCGCATCTGCCATTACCTTCGGCTGGTCATGCGGCCGCTGCTCGCAAGCAAGGACCCCACACCGCTGCCAGTGGCGGAGGTCCTGCGTGGCCTGGAAGCCGCGGGGGAAATTACGCTGGACGACAAGACGTTGGCGGCATTGGGAACAGATAGCGTGGAGGCGCTGTTCGCGAACTTTATGAGGGATGTGGTGACGCTCCGGAGGCGCAGCGCCGACGGCGTGGTGGGGGTCGTGCCGTCAGAGGTCTACAGGCGGGAAGAGGCCGACAACCGCGGATTGCACATGCGTTGCTCGGGGGTAACCAGCCCGGCGCGAGGGGAGATGTGGTCACTGCCGTCACCGCAGCAGCGGCACGGGCAGCAAGAGCCGTCCAAACGACAGCGGCATGAGAGAGCAGCGGGGGCGGGGGCCAGGGAGGACGCCCCGGGGGCCGCGACGGCCGCCGCCGCCGCCATCGAACCCGGTGGGCAGAGACCTGGACGCCACGGCCGCGGCAGCGAGGGATCCTGGTCCCTGCCCAGTGCCTTCCCAGATACTAACGGCCTGCACAAGCTACAGCAGCCGCACCGACAGCCTTGCAGCAACGCCGCCACGGCACACAGCATGGGTGCGGCGCATCAGGCAGCTCAGCCGCCGCCGGCGCCGGCGGCAGCCGCCAGTACTTCCGCAGGTTCCCTGGCCGCCACTGGTGACTGCTCCGATATCCTGGTCGGGGCCAGCTCCATGGCGAGCAGCAGTAGCGGCGGCGGCGGCGGTGGTGGTGGCAGTAGCGGCTGTATACTGGAAGGTTCTGCTGTCGTCAGCCGTCGTGATCACCGGAAGCTTCCAGCGCACCTGCGACCCAAACCGGCAGTCTCGGGCCGCATGCCACATTCGACCATGCTGCTACAGCCGCCACAGACACAGCCACAGACACAGTTAATGCCGCCGCGGCCGCCGTCGCGGGCAGCAGCGGCAACCGCGGCCGCTGCGAGGCAGGGTGCTGGCTTACCCGCAGCTCCTTTGCGCCGCGAGTGGCAAACCGTGGGCGACATGATGCCGGTACGGATTGATCTGTGGACCTTGGCTCAGGCGGAGACCCAGGGCGCTGACTGCGTGCCGACGTGTCGGGCGGCGGGGTACGACACGTGCTGGCAGGTGACCGGTTACCGGGAAAGCCAGGTGGGTGAGGTTGGCGGTAACATGGAGGGGGTTGTTTCTCGCTTTGTGGTTCGAGGGGATGAAGGTGCGGTGTAGGGGTATTTTGCGGGTAGGTGTTGCGTGGAGGTGAGGCAGGGTAAGTGAGCAGCGAAAGGGGGAGGACTGTCCTGAGTGTTTTGGCCGCGGTAGTTGGGTAGCCCGGTAGACATGGCGGCCCAGTGAGGTCTGATATTGTACGTCTGGTCCCCACATTCCACCAAGGCAGGCAGACAGACAGAGACAGATAGGCAGACATTATATTGCGCCACAGCCTGTCCGCGTCCTCCCGTTTTCCCCCCCCCCTCTTCCGGCCGGCAATCGGTCTGGGTGGCTAGCTCCCTGCCTGACGGGCTGACAGACCTGAAGGTTCCTGAGAGGCTGGCTGACTTCTGGCTGGTGGTGTGGTGTGGTGTGGTGTGGTGTGGTGTGGTGTGGTGTGGTGTGGTGTGGTGTGGTGTGGTGTGGTGTGGTGTGGTGTGGTGTGGTGTGGTGTGGTGTGGTGTGGTGTGGTGTGGTGTGGTGTGGTGTGGTGTGGTGTGGTGTGGTGTGGTGTGGTGTGGTGTGGTGTGGTGTGGCGTCGAATGTGGTTGCAGGTACTTGCCTCTTGTTGGGGCGCCACCCGAGAAGCCGCCATATCGGCACTGCGGCAGCACCTGGTGGACCTGATCTCCACCTTGCGATGAACACGGCCGCCAGCCCCACCCCGGTAAGAGGCGCACATGCGCCATGTGTCTGTGTTTGGGCAGGGCGGGAGTGCCGTTGGCATCCGGGAAGAGACGATGTACGGCTCGTGGACAGTGGAACGATGCGCGAGAGGTACGTCAGGCGTTGCTGCTGCTGCTGCTGCGGGAGAGGGTTTGTGGCAATGTTTGACACGCTTTCTTTTGGGGGGGACCTCCGGGTAAAGGCTGAGGGTCTCACTACTTGTTGTTAACTTTTAAGGGCCCAGATGGCGGTTCCCCTTTAGGGGACGATGATGTTATGGCAGAGCGCGTTAGCAACCGCAGCAACCGCGGCAGCTGCGACAGGGGCAGGAGCAGCAGGGTGCCGAGCAGCCTCTCAGCTGAGAGGCGGCTACTGTGGTACGGAGATCCAGACGGGCTCCAGGACAGTCCGCACGGTGGGGGCGAGCAGCCCGTTCATTTCACCAATTGGCTGCTTCTGAGCGCACGCGGGGCTGTAGCAGCGGTTGGTGCGGTCAGAGGCCTTTCGAACTTCACCACCCACACCACCACAATAACAACAACAACAACAACAACAGCTGGGGCGGTTGTGAAAGGGACCAGAAAGGAACATCGACGGCGGCGGCGCCAGCACGAGCGTGTATGCATGTATGTATGTATTTTTATATATGAATGTGCGGGTGTGTGTGGCGTTGCGCCATGAGGAGCTCGGCCCAGCTACCCCGGCCTCCACGGACTGACCCCGCGCCAACCGCGTATTGTGGAGGAGACGCTGAGAGTTGCCAGGGAGCCTTTCTTCCTGCTGCTGGTGGTGGTGGTGGTTGTGGTGGTGCCAAATCCTCCCTACAAAACGCCGTAGCATACGTACTAACCGTCATTCTTAACCGATTGCCGTGCTTCCAATTCAGTAGTTGTGCTGTCCTGTACCAAGCTCGATATTCTTTGCTTCCTTACCTGTATTTTAACTGTACATGTATTTGCCGTACACACGGCACTGGTTGTTGGTGTATCGAGGATGAGGCGGTGGCAGCAGTGAGGGCGGAACCACCGCCTCGCACCGCCCCTGGAGCGGTAGCACTACCGCCAGAACCATTACCACAGCCACAACGAACAAACAGCAGATTCGTGCGCCTCCATTTGGTGGGACGGACTGCGTATCGGTCTCCACGTCCGGTGTGTCGCCGTCGGCACAGCGGTAGACAGTTATCATTCCGGTAGCACTGGGCCCGGTTGGGCCCCGGGGCCTGTCAGGCCGGTAAGAGTATGCGGCGGCCTACATCGGCCCCATACAGCGGGAGGAGGTTGCATAGCATTACCCACCTTGGTGGTGAGGGGGGGAGGGAGGCGGTGGAGGAGGGGGGGAGGGAGGCGGTGGAGGAGGACGTTGGGTCCATGGTGTGTTGCTGTGTGTCGCTGGGCGGTAGAGAAGGATAGTTTTGCGTGCGTGTCGGTGTGTGTGTGTGCATTGGAGCGTACGTACATACGTACATACATACATACGTACATACGAGGGGGTGTCTTGGGATTCTTCTTGAATGGAATCAATGTTCGCATCATGATGGCCTTTAAAGGTTGGCTGCGGGATCGCTGCAGGGGGCAGGCAAAATCATCCCCCGTCTTTCCCCGTGCTGCTGTTACCTAACCCGCACCTCACCCCACCCCACCACAGTTGGAAACTTCGCTTCCAACTGTTGGCCGTTTGTGACGTGCTTCAGGACACGATGTAGGGATGACCGGGAAGGACATAATACCCGTAATGCAGCTACGGCGGTTATGAACTTCCAGGTTTGTTGTTTGGACCGCGTACATGAAGCCTGGGGTAACCATCCACCATTACGACATCCGCGATACGTTCTGAACCAATTCTGGGATCCATTTTTCCTTTTTCTATTGGAAGTGTTATGACGGAGATAGGTGGGTAGGGCTCCGCCGGTGTAAATCAACGCGTGTGTGGGGCGGCGGTGGTGGTAGCGCGCTCTTGGCGCCTGACGGCTGCACGCTAGGGAGGGGGAAAGAGGGAGAAGGGGGGGTGCATGAGCATGAGCCGTGTTACCCAAACTTGTGCGGCTACACGAGTGCACGGGAGGCTCACTGGCGTCGGGGGAGCTGGGGGGGAGCTGGGGGGTGTGAGCTGAGAGAGGGCGGCTGGGTAGATGTTGTGAACGGGCATTCGAATGTTCATCTGCCTAGAAACCGGCATTCCCCGTATTCCACTTATTCCACGTAATCATTAGATAGATCCTGACTCTGAAAACTAGTTTGTTTCCTCCTTGTTCGACCCATTACCTCTATCCAGCTACATTGCAAGCAGGGGAATAGTAAACAAATTGCAACATCGAGTTGCACTCAAGTTACAGCTGTCGCAGAGCGGGAAAGTAGTAGTAGAGTCCGTGCGTCCGGCTCCACTCCGTCACCACGAGCCCTCCTCATGCACCGTGTCTGGTGACCTAGCGGCATGTGAAGCATTCTGAGAGATTCTTCGGAGACACACAGCCACATCGCCATCGGCCTCTGCCCGCAGCAACTACTAGTGGCAGCACCGCCACCGCCGCTCCTTCACTGGGGCTGCCCCCTTCACACCCTCGGTAAGAGGCGCACATGCGCCATGTGTCTGTGTTTGGGCAGGGCGGGAGTGCCGTTGGCATCCGGGAAGAGACGATGTACGGCTCGTGGACAGTGGAACGATGCGCGAGAGGTAGGTCAGGCGCTGCTGCTGCTGCTGCTGCTGCGGGAGAGGGTTTGTGGCAATGTTTGACACGCTTTCTTTTGGGGGGGACCTCCGGGTAAAGGCTGAGGGTCTCACTACTTGTTGTTAACTTTTAAGGGCCCAGATGGCGGTTCCCCTTTAGGGGACGATGATGTTATGGCAGAGCGCGTTAGCAACCGCAGCAACCGCGGCAGCTGCGACAGGGGCAGGAGCAGCAGGGTGCCGAGCAGCCTCTCAGCTGAGAGGCGGCTACTGTGGTACGGAGATCCAGACGGGCTCCAGGACAGTCCGCACGGGGGGGGGGGCGAGCAGCCCGTTCATTTCACCAATTGGCTGCTTCTGAGCGCACGCGGGGCTGTAGCAGCGGTTGGTGCGGTCAGAGGCCTTTCGAACTTCACCACCCACACCACCACAATAACAACAACAACAACAACAACAGCTGGGGCGGTTGCGAAAGGGACCAGAAGGGAACATCGACGGCGGCGGCGCCAGCACGAGCGTGTATGCATGTATGTATGTATTTTTATATATGAATGTGCGGGTGTGTGTGGCGTTGCGCCATGAGGAGCTCGGCCCAGCTACCCCGGCCTCCACGGACTGACCCCGCGCCAACCGCGTATTGTGAAGGAGACGCTGAGAGTTGCCAGGGAGCCTCTCTTCCTGCTGGTGGTGGTGGTGGTGGTGGTGCCAAATCCTCCCTACAAAACGCCGTAACATACGTACTAACCGTCATTCTTAACCGATTGCCGTACTTCCAATTCAGTAGTTGTGCTGTCCTGTACCAAGCTCGATATTCTTTGCTTCCTTACCTGTATTTTAACTGTAAATGTATTAGCCGTACATATGCCACTGGTTGTTGGTGTATCGAGGATGAGGCGGTGGCGGCAGTGGCGGCAGTATGGGCGGAATCACCGCCTCGCACCGCCCCTGGAGCGCTAGCACTACCGCCAGAACCATTACCACAGCCACAACGAACAAACAGCAGATTCGTGTGCCTCCATTTGGTGGGACGGACTGCGTATCGGTCTCCACGTCCGGTGTGTCGCCGTCGGCACAGCGGTAGACAGTTATCATTCCGGTAGCACTGGGCCCGGTTGGGCCCCGGGGCCCGTCAGGCCGGTAAGAGTATGCAGCGGCCTACATCGGCCCCATACAGCGGGAGGAGGTTGCATAGCATTACCCACCTTGCTGGTGGTGAGGGGGGGAGGGAGGCGGTGGAGGAGGGGGGGATGTGGCGGTGGAGGAGGACGTTGGGTCCATGGTGTGTTGCTGTGTGTCGCTGGGGGGTAGAGAAGGACATAGTTTTGCGTGCGTGTCGGTGTGTGTGTGTGCATTGGAGCGTACGTACATACGTACATACATACATACGTACATACGAGGGGGTGTCTTGGGATTCGGGATTCTTCTTGAATGGAATCAATGTTCGCACCATGATGGCCTTTAAAGGTTGGCTGCGGGATGGCTGCAGGGGGCAGGCAAAAGCATCCCCCGTCTTTCCCCGTGCTGCTGTTACCTAACCCGCACCTCACCCCACCACAGTTGGAATTCGCTTCCAACTGTTGGCCGTTTGTGACGTGCTTCAGGACACGATGTAGGTGACCGGGAAGGACGTAATACCCGTAATGCAGCTACGGCGGTTATGAACTTCCGGGTTTGTTGTTTGGACCGCGTACATGAAGCTGGGGTAACCATCCACCATTACGACATCCGCGATATGTTCTGAACCAATTCTGGGATCCATTTTTCCTTTTTCTATTGGTGGTGTTCCGACAGAGATAGGTAGGGTAGGGCCCCGCCGGTGTTAATCCACGCGTGTGTGTGGGGCGGTGGTGGTGGTGGCGCCCTCTTGGCTCCTGACAGCTGCACGCTAGGGAGGGGGGGGTGCATGAGCTGTGTTACCCAAACTGCTGCTACACGAGTGCACGGGAGGCTCACTGGCGTCGGGGGAGCTGGGGGGGAGCTGAGTGTGTGAGAGAGGGCGGCTGGGTAGATGCTGTGAACGGGGCATTCGAATGTCCATCTGCCCAGAAACCGGCATTCCCCGTATTCCACTTATTCCACGTAATCAATAGATAGATCCTGACTCTGAAAACTAGTTTATTTCCTCTTGGTTCGACCCATTACCTCGATCCCTCTACATTGCAAGCAGGGAAATAGCAGGGAAACAAAGTGCAACATCGAGCTCAAGTTATACAGCTGTCGCAGAGCGGGAAAGTAGTAGTAGAGTCCGTGCGTCCGGCTCCACTCCGTCACCACGAGCCCTCCTCATGCACCGTGTCTGGTGACCTAGCGGCGTATGAAGCATTCTGAGAGATTCTTCGGAGACACACAGCCACATCGCCATCAGCCTCTGCCCGCAGCAACTACTAGTGGCAGCACCGCCACCGCCGCGCCTTCACTGGGGCTGCCCCCTTCACACGCTACCTCCCCTCTCGCACCTCGATCCCGATCTCTTGCCCGGCGAATGAAACCACGCGCGCAGACCCCGCCACTTCGCCCACTCCCTTCCTCCCTCTTCTCGTCCCCCCTCCTTCGAGATTATTGACCATTCACGCGCAATGCAGCCAACTCTCAGCCGTACAACACCATCCGGCATTCCAATTACCCCTCCAGGGAGCCACTTCCCCCTTAACCTCGAAAGACCGACCATGACCAAACAACACCGCACGGCAGCCCACTCCCTGATCAGAACCATATACCGATTCGCCTCCCGCCTCCCGCCCCCCCCCCAGACAACGCTCAATCGGACCGCATCATCGCATACGTTGTGAGAGTTAACCTCCCTGTCCGCATCAGCCGCCGCATTACACACCAGATGTCACGTAGTCCCGAAGCCGCCGTACCAATTCGTCCTTCTCCGCACAACCCCTGCATTCCAGCCCCTTAGCTTGCAGTAGGTCTTTCAGCTGTCGCGTCGAGAGACCCGACAAATCCGTGTTGGCGTCAAGCCGCACGGCCTTGGCGCACTTCTTGCCCGCAGCGTACGACTCAAGGTGGCGGCCCAGCGGCTCCGATTTTAGCTGCCCGCCGTACCGCTCCGCCACCGCAACGTCGCCGTTGCAGATCGACAGCAGCAGCGGCAGCTTACCGCTGCCCTCGCGCTCCGCGGCCAAGTCCACGCCAAGCTTCGCCGCCACCGCAGCCGCCGCAGCGGCGGCCTTGCCGCTGCTGGCGGCGGCATTCAGCTCCCCAAAGGCCACTTTGCCGCCGTACGCCACAGACAACGCCCGGTACAGAGCGGGCGTTTCGCTCTTGTTGCTGATCAGCAGGACGCACACATTCCAAGCCGCTGCATCCTTGCCTTTGCTCTTGCCGCTGCACTGCGCTAGCAACAGCTTATCCAGCGACTTCTCGTCCGAGATTCGCACCACGCGACTGGGCACCAAGCCGAGGGCCCAATCGGAGATTGCCTTGGCGGAGCGCTCGCCGTTGTACTCGCGGACGCTTGGTGCGGCGGCGCCGCCGCTCGGAACGAAGGCCTTGATTGTTGGGTAGCCCTTTAGGCCTTGTGCCTGACACGCCTGCTGTCGCTCGTCGCAGTTGACGGCACCGACTCGTACGACGCCCTTGAGACTGGCGGCAGCCTTGGACCATTGAGGAGCGAGCTGCTTGCAGTGGCCGCACCTGCGCACAAGTATACATACATACATACGAACAAACAAACAAGAGGAACCTGGGCAGCATGACGCGGGGTCATGTGGATTGCGGGGAGAACTGGATACCGGGCAGACCCTGGAATGATGGGGCTCGAGAGGGTCGCGGGTGGTTCCGGAGCTAGAGCGGGGGGAGCGGGGAAAGAGGGTTGCGACACACCCGCCCGCCCGCCCAGAGATCACTTCACCGCTTCAAGTTGAACCCCTCAACTAGACCAAGAAGGTCTGCTACACCGCCACACACACACACACACCTCCCAGGGGCCCTGCTCGCACTACCACCCACCCACGCACCAGGGGGCGTAGAATTCCACAATCCAAACCCAGTTCGTGTCGGGCGGCAAGCTGGATCCGTCCAGCTGCTGTACATACGGATCACTGTCGTACATGGGCTGACCACCACCCCGACCGCCGCCCATTCCGCCGCCCATGCCACCGCCCATGCCGCCGCCCATGCCGCCCATATTGAAGTGCACGCGAGCTCCGCCACCGCCTCCCCCCATGCCGCCGCCCCCTGCAGCTCCCCTCCCGAAGAACATGTTGAACATTTCGAAGGGATCTCCACCCTGTAGGGCGGGGGGGGGCAGATAGGAAGGTTTGAATTGGGAATGCGGTTCGGTTTGCGTCACCCTAGGGCCCTTGGAGGGGGGGGGGCGGACAGGAGGAGCTGCAGGTGGGCAGGTAGGCAGGGTTTGGATCTCCCGATACCCGCTGGTACGGAAGTGCAGGAAGATACGGAAGGTACGGTACGGAATGATGAACTGAACGGCGGCTTATCCAGCTTCGTGCTTCATCGCTGCTGAACCCTCCACGTGCGATATCCACCCTTAGGAAAAAAACACCGAGAAACGGTCACTGTGACGGCCACTGTGAGCTGGCACTAGGTGACACTGCACCCTGTGGGAGAACGCGATGGCGAGGCCATACAGGCAGCACACAGCGACCCATCACCCCACAGGAAACCTCATTCCACCAGCCCACTGGATGGCACCAACCCACTCACTCACCCCAAAGTGCGCCTGAAAGCCCCCTGGGCCGCCGGGACGCCCGCCCGGACCGCCGCCATCGCCCCCCTTGAGGCCCTCCTCGCCGAACTGCATTGCATTGCATTGCATTGCAGCAGCCACCGGCGCAGCTCATACACCGCTGACGCTAAGAATACAGCAGCGCCAGTGAGCAAAGCGCTGGACAGGGACCGTCAGGATGAGTGCTACGAGCGCATCCATCACGTACATGAAATATGGTTGCAAGTGCCCCATCCCGCCACCAGCTGATACCCCAATCAATCGTGCCCCACATGCCGAACAGCATTGACATGCTTCATATAGAGGGATGTGACGTCGGAGAGAGACGTATCCCGCGAAACATCTTTTATTCGTTGGGCGGCCAGCCTACCTGGTCGTAGACTCGGCGCTTTTGGGGGTCAGAGAGGGCCTCGTACGCAGCTGCTATGTCGCGGAAGCGTTCCTCCGCTTTCTCCTTGTTCTCAGGGTTCCGATCCGGGTGCCATTTGAGCGCCTGTTTGCGGTATGCCTTCTTGATTGTGGCATCGTCGGCGTCCCGTGCGACCCCGAGGATGCTGTAGAAGTCCCGTCCGCCCCGTGCAGCTATTGCGTGCTGCGCCAGGAGCAGTCCAAGGAGTGCTATTGACGCGAGGAAAAGCCGCAGCGTCATCGCAGTGCGCCAGTGACACGCCCGTTGGAGTAGTGTTCACGCACAGCACGGTTGGGCAGACCGTCGCGCGAAGACACAGCTGTGGTAAAGTGATCGAGCAGTTACTGTTAGCACTGATTGATTTTTTGAGCAAACTGGGCCAGGCCCCAAAAGGTCCCGTTCCTTAGCGTGCACGGATGTTATTGTGATTTAACCAAAAAGCTATTGAAGGTGTTTCCTTAGTATAAAGAACGCCAAGAACTTTAACACACGGGGCGACCAATGCACGAAACTGTTAAGCAAATATTCCTGGGACAGCAAAGCAAAAGCTTCTAGTACTTGCCGTACTTCCGTATGACCTCACCAAACCTTTCAGACGATAGCATCATCCATCATGACCTTTCGTTCCCGAATTTAGTTTCATCAGCGAAGTTCTCCGCAAAATGTTTCACGCTTCGTTCTTGATGAACTGATTAACCGAAAAGCTTGCCGCGCTGCCGTGTTTGACCGATTCCAAAAGGTACTGGTTTTTGGTACTAATTATATAACTAGCTCATTCTGTGGAATTCACCTGTCCAGCAGGCTCCTTCATTCAGGTGGCAACGTATTTTGTATACGTGAATCTCTTCTCAGTAATTCAAGCAGCGAAGTTGTCTGGAGTGGCGGAGGGGTTGACCGATGGAGGACGCCCTCGCCCGGCGCGAAAGGCTGAAGGCCCTGCGAGCGGCAGCCCAGGCCTCGGCACCGGATGAAGCAGATGCGTCACAACAGCATGACACGGCTGAGCCGGAGCCAGAGAAACCCGTCCTTAAGTTCCGGAACTACGCAGTCCAGGACACCAAGCGGATAGACCACGAGCGGGTTGCAGCAGCGCAACCCCCCAAATTCCAGGAACCTGTCGTTGAAACGAAACCAGAGGATCTGCCTCAGGAGGTACGTGCTGCCGATGGATAGGGGTGTGTCCCTGGCAGGGGGGGGGGTTCTTCCCAATCCCCGCATGAACGCGTTGCATGGTTCATGAACGGAGGGGTGAATGGAGAATGCGGGCGGTTCACTGGAAGTGAAGAAGCGGGCCATCACTCACCACCCAACCCCCACGCATGCTGCGTGCGAGGATTCTGCCACCGCATTGCTTTCTCGGGCGCAAAAGCATCTGGCACCTTACGCGAGTTCCGTTATATGCCTTAGTGAGGGCAGAGTCGTGCGCACTTGGGCGTTTGGGTGTGTAAAAGAAGAATTACACGTGCACGGCAGAAATCCGTGCACGCCCAAATCAAAAAGGACGTCTTTCTTCGAGTGGTTGCTGGTTGAGAGCTGCTTCGAAATAGTCCCATGGTTCGGTTCATGAGGTTACACTTCGGCCTCTCAACCCATCTCTTGGTGCTTCCAGTCTTCATGAAGTGGGGCTACCTAATCTAGCTTTATGATGATGTTTCCCTTTTCCTGTTAGATCCGCTCCCTTCAACCATCCGCGCAAATACCTGTTAAGCTCTTTCCCCGGACTTCCTTTGTCCACATACACAGCCATCCTCCCCATCACTTCCCACTGCCCCCCGTGGCTGCCTCATGTCCTCCTCAACTCCCTCGGCTCGCCTCACTCCTACAGGAGCTGCTGGTCAACATAGCCCCAAAGAAAGCTAATTGGGACCTCAAACGGGACGTGCAACCGAAGTTGGACAAACTGGAGCGGCGCACGCAGCGGGCTATCTTGGAGATGATGCGCGAGGAGGAGCGGCGCAAGCTGGAGGAGGAGGGCGGTGTGCAGGACTGAACATTGACAGGGAGCTAAAACTGGGAGCTTGGCTGCAGAGGGAAATAAATGGCTCTGTGTGGCGGCAGCCCCGAGTCTCAGTGGGCACTTTGGGTTCTTTGTTGGGGTAGGCCTCACCGGGAGTCGCCCATGGGGCTACATGGGGGGGGGGGACGGAGGTCTGGACCCGCTCGGGGACGAGTGCACTGCTAAGAAGGCCAGGGCTAAGGGGCAGGGGCGGTATCCGAGATTGGGTTTCCTGGGCGATGGAGGGCAGGTATTTGGGGCTGGTGCTGGTGGCGGGAGGATGTACCGTGAGGGTGACTGACGGGCCCCGCCCCACCGGAAGTCCCCCCGGAGCCGCGGCGGCGGTTTAACGGCTGACAGGAGCACAAAGTAGGGTCTGTGCGGGGATCTATGGTCGCGGCACGTTGCTGCAGACGCATGTGGTTTTGTGGTGCTGATGTGGGAGCTGGTGCGCAGGGGGGCAAGTGGGTGCTTGAGGACTGCTGAGAAAAGTGTGTGATCCTGTCAACATAACTGGCGAATGGAAGGCCGGAAGGCCGGCCGGACGACGGCGTGTGACTTGTTAGCCAGGACGCCCGGGCTCTGAGGAGGGTTCTGGCAGTTGCAGTGAATAGTAGTTTCTTCTCACTGCTGCTGCTGCTGCTGCTGCCAGTGCTGCTGATTGTCGTCCTTGCGGATTTTCCCAGGGTAAGAGCAGCCGGCGACTTGTGATGGTGACGGTGGTGCTGTAGCCGCACTAGGGTCCGATCCCCCTCAGCAGCCACCGCCTGGCGGATAAACACTAGGTATGATGTGCAGGTGCGTGCAGCGGAGTTGCAGTTATGATCGCCTGCACAGTCAGACCGACGTCGGCGAGTACAGGCCCAACGCCCAACTATTCGGTCCTTTCTGAGAATAACTGAAAACGTAAATCTGATTGGTGGCCGGACCACGCCAGTGTTGAACAACACGGCATGGAAAAGAGCAAAAAGCAGTCGCACTGTCCTGACGGTTGGATGCATGGGTCGGGCCCCCGGTAGGTGGGTAAACACAGCTGGAGGTCTGGTTGGACATCTGGTAAACGATTTCCACAAAAACAAAGTGTAAACGCAAGTGCTGGTGGCACATATGGGATTGGGGAACAGCGTGTTACGGACATGCGCACACAGCAGCCTGGACAGGCGCATGCCCCTACTCCCAAACGGCCCCATCGCGACAAAGCACGCACCAGAAAACGCCACAAGATTTAACTGGGCTTGCCCTAGTGGAGTGCAAAGCGCAAGGAGGGAGAGAAGGCGGGCGGGAGAGTGCAAAGCTAACACCCGCGATATTTGGCTGACACAGCCAGGGGGGCACAATATTCCAATGCCGCCACCGCCTCGGGCACCGTACCTTCATGTTCTCCCCTTAATCGTCTCCAACGAACCCCAGTCCGATTTCATCCCACCACCAGCACCCCCACCTGGAGGTCCTCCGCAAGCCTCGAGTGCGTTCTCACCTACTGCAAGCTCACCTACTGCAAGCTCACCTACTGCAAGCTCACCTACTGCAAGCTCACCTACTGCAAGCTCACCTACTGCAAGCTCACCTACTGCAAGCTCACCTACTGCAAGCAGCAGCCGCAGCAGCAGCAGCCACCACCCCAACCTGGAGAACCAACCTGGAGACTGCCGCCGCTTAGACGTCACACACTGGAGGATATCCAGCAGCAGCGGTACCCCGTCTCGCCCATTCCGACAAGGGGACATGGCTACCCCTGTGCATCCCAGTTAGCTCCGGTTTCCCTAATGAGTGCCGCTTACTGAACCTCTGCTGCCCCTGCCCCTGTCCCACCCTTGCCCCGCCTTCGCCTCCGCCCCGAGCGTGTCCGTGCCGCCGTCCCCAATCCCCCTGCCCATGTGGGCCCTGCCGCCGGGTCTTCTGTACCACCAGCTGATGCACCGAGTGCCACCCCCGGTGCCGTACCCTCCGCCGCCGTACCCTCCGCAGCCGCCGCAGCAGCAGGCGCCGGTGGAGGCGGCGATGCCTGAACTGAAGGTGGCGGCTGAGGCTGCGTCCTCCGCGTGTGGCTCGTGGCCACGATGCTGGCCCCCCGCCCCGCCAGTGGCAGCAGAGCCGCCGCCAGCTGCATCTGCTCCCCCGGTGCCATCACTTTGGAGTAGCTTTGGCTGACCTTGATGCTGGCCTGGGGCCGGCAAGGAAGCAGGAAAATAGGGGGATAGGGTACTGCCCGCGAATAGCCTCCGCGATGGTGTGTTCAGGTTTGAGGGACCCTTACAACCACAGAGTCATCCATCCCGGTGTCCATGCCACCACGACGAGTTGTAGCAAACACTATGCCAATGGCAGGCAGGCAGCAGAAATTCGCGGCAGCTGCCGCTGCAAGCTCATTTAGTGCCTTTAGGCCCGATAGAAACACGGGGTCAGGGACTGGACTGGCTCCTATTGGGCACTGTCCGTGCACTGCACTACATGCCACGCCACAATCTGAACGGCCTGGCAGGAAATCGCCCAATGCGCACGCACCCTCCTTCCTCCTCCTTCCCCCCTTTTGTCCCTGCACCCGGCATCTCCTACCATGCACTCACCCTCTGCAGGCAACACCACAACCGGGCAGCCAACCCATTCACGCCTCCAGTTCAATCGCCCACAGAAAGGGAAACCACCGGTAGCACCACTAGTAGCAAACATTAAAAATCAGCAAACACCCCCTCCCCCCCTCCCCCCCCACACACAGGGACCTACTCACCCGGCCCCATGCCAACCTTGACCCCGCCAACCCACCCACCTCCAGCCACTCCGACGGCGGCCTCATCTTTAGGCTCACGAGCCAGCTGGCGGTCAGCAGCAGCTCGCTAGGGGCGTACCTCATCCGGCGCAGCAGCGACCCGCTGGCGGCCCACCAGGCGGCCAACCAGCCGCCAGTGGGCAGCAACTCCGCCTCCACCAGCCCGGCCAATCGCCGCTGCCGCCAGCGAGCCGTGCGAAGATTGTGAAGTCGGTCTAGACTGAGAAGCATACTGCTGTTGCTGCCACTGCTGCTGGTGGAGGTTGCGGCAGAGTCAAGGCTGGCTGCAGGGCCGGAGAGCAACCCCGGCGGAATTGTCGCTGGGGCTGCGGCGGCGGCAGCTGTTGACGGCCGGCTGCTGCTGTCATCCGCATCACCGCCGCTGCCACCGCTCCGCTGCTGAAGCTGTCGGGATGATGACCCGGCTGCTGCAGCAGCAGCAACAGCAGCAGTGCCGGCTCCCCGCACGTTGGCGGCGGCGGAGTTCCCGATCGGGCGGGTGCTGGGATTCGACGTCGTGGCTGCTACACCCCTGGCCGCCACAGCCTCAGCCTCAGCAGCGCCGCCACCACTCTGGACCACACGTCCACTACTGCCAGGTGCTACTCCTTTGCTAGAGGGGGCCGCAGCGGCAACGGTCATGTCGACAGTGGCAGAGGTCGAGGTGGCTGCCCCTGGTTCCGCCGGTGCTGCTGCCTGCGTGGCCTCCATCCCCATCCTCTTCAGCTTGGTGAGGGCCACCAGCAGCGTAAGAAGCTGCAGGGCGCTGCAGTCAGCCAGGCGGGGCGCCAGCACGTCCTCAAGCCGTTGGAGCCACTCACGCGGGGCCTCAGCCTGCGGGGTTGGATAGCGCGGGGAGGGAGTAGGCCCAATCGTAAGGGGACAGAAGCGAAGGAGGCTCAATGATTGGGTGTGAGACTTCACTAAACCGACGCCAACAAGAATGTACCCAACTCCCACTTCAGCTTCCCCCCTATATTTTGTATGTCCCAGCTACGCGTCGCCTCTTTTTTATCGCCCTTTCCAGCCCAAATTCTTGCCGCGCCTCCCCCTCCTCCTTCCCCTTCCTCTTCCCTCATTCACGCTCGCTTGCCCCCACCTCCAGCAGCACTAGGGCGGGCAACATACTGCTCCAGTGGGTGACACTAAATCGCTCCCAGCACCGGTACATGGCTAGCATCAGTCTGTTGAGCCATTCCTGAGAGGAGGGGGACGGGGGGGGGGGAAGGAGTGAAGCTTGGGGAGAGAGGAGTCGGCCGGGGGCGAGGAAAGGGGAGGAAAGGAACGGTGCGCTACAGGACTTGCTGTTACATGATATAAATAACCTTACAACGGAGTAAGGTGGTAACAGGCGGAGGAAAAGAAATGGAAAGCAAACAGCGGTGCCACACAGAGCCTGTGTGCGTGCGAGGGGCTTCCAGTTAGTCTGTCCTCTCGAACCCTCTTCAACGGCGCAAAAGTTCCTAACCCGCTTGGGATATACAGCTGCTGCTGCTACTGCTGCTGCTGCCGCTGCTCCTGCGGCTGCTGTTGCTAGGTAAACCCAGCCGCACTAACGAGACAAGAACACACGGTCCAGGATACACGGTGTGTTGGGGGGCCCGTAAAAAGATTTGCGCCCTCCCACGCAGACACAGCAGCACGTACACATGAGCACAAAACTTGCAGCAGGTTCTACGTACGGCAGCAGTACGGCAGTAGTACCTGAGGCGGTTGTACTCCCAGGGCATGCAGTGCGGGTAGTAGGGTGCTGAAGTGCTGCGGCTCGAAGTCCGGATGGCCAGCTCGGGAGATGGCGGTTTGCATGCACAGC